CCCCCCCCCCCCCCCCCCCCCCTCCCCCCTCCTCCACCCTGTTCTACGACCTTTTCTGGCCACACTCACCAACCACGACCTTTTTCACCTCCGCCGCCGCCAGTCTCTTCGGCCTCGCTGGGCAAGCTGGCGGTCCTCTTCCCGGCCGATGACATTGGAGGTGGGCCATCGGTGTTGACTACTGCGTTGGACGTCCTTGATCGGGGCCTACTCGAGCTTGTTGAGGCTGTGCCCTCGGGCCGCTCGGCCGTCTTTGCCTCCTCGCGCACCTCGCCCGCCCGCTATTTGGTCCTCGGCACGCACTACTGCTCGTGCCCGGCGTTTATCCAGGCGGTTCGCTCGGCGAGCGCCGCCTTTTGCAAGCACCAGCTCGCAGCCATGCTCTCGTCGCTCGGCGTCGGCGGCGCCATCGCGACGCGCCGTGTTGACGACGCCCACATGGCCTGTGCTCTGCTCGACGGCCGAACACGCCTCCGCTGAGCCACGCGACGCTGGCTCTGCGCTCAGATCCAGCCCCGCTCCAGACCCAGCGCCGCCACCACCATCAGGCCCACGTACGCCGCCACTCCGACTCCCGCCACTCCTATCCGTAGAGGATACGAGAGACACGGCGCTACTGTCGATTGCAACCGCTCGTGGGTGGCGGCGAGGCTCGCCTCGTCAAGCGGCGCAGGCACCGCCCCGCCCTCCACCACGTCCAGCTCGACGGCAACAGTGTGCGGGACGCCAGCGACGCGCGCCGCCTGGTACACGTACGTGTCGATGACAAAGTTGGAGAGCGCAGGGAGGAAGACCCACGCCAGAAAGGCGATCGCCAGCGTCTCCAGCAGGCCGAACGAGACGAGCTCGTAGATGGCGCGGTCGCCGCGCGCCGCCACTGTCCTTCGCTCCGTCTCGCGAAACTCGACCGGCGCCTCAAAGTTGACCCGCTCCGTCTCGACCGTCAGCACCGAGTAGAGGCCGCCAAAGAGCGAGAACGGGAGCTGGAACTCAGTTCCATTGACCTCGTACCCGGTTTCCAGGCCTTGCTCGACCCACTGACCCTGGCCCTGCAGCTGAGCCATGTAAAAGTTCTTGCGGACCCACGCCGGATCGTCCGCCGCCTTGCTTGCGCTCGGCGACAGCCGCCGCCACGTGGTAAGGAACGAGCCGACCAGGAACGGGACCCGATGGAGCCACTCCTCGACGAGACTCACAGAAAGCTCGTACCGCTTGACAAGCTGCGTGTAGTGCGTCAGGTTCGCGTTGCGCGCCTGAGTAAAGTTGGCCATGTACTCGGCCCGGAGAGCGTCGGCATGCGCCCGCTGGCTCCACGATGCGCCGACCTCGGCCACCGAGATCAGCCCGTTCCCGTTAGCCGCCGTGTACCGCGCCGGCACCACAATTGCCATGTAGTACAGCAGCGCCAGTGCGGCAGCGAGCGCCACGCCCACAACCCACGGCACAAGCTGCTGTACCACGCGCATCGCCTTGCCGGCACACGCCCCGCCGCGGCAGCAGAACGTGTACACCGACCGCCGCAAGTCGAGCGAGAACGACTTGGACAGCTCGCGTCCGCGCATCCGCCCCACCTCCACCATCACCCGGTACGCTTGCACCACAAAGTCCACAAAGAGCAGCAGCGAAAAGGCAGCCACAGCTACGGCCTCTAGCGGCGACAGATGCATCTCATACTCGTACGCCAAAATCTCGGCCTGCGAAGCGTTGGCAGAAAAGACCACAAGCTCTGGCACGCCGACGTCGACCAGCGACTGAATGTACGCCACCTCTTCGTCGCTCACCACCTCGGGTGGATCGTAGTCGCGGACAACACTAGCCGCCAGCCTGCTCAGTCTACTCCGCAGCTCGCCAGGCACCCGGACCACAACAGATCCAGCGTCTAGCCCGATTGTCACACGCGCAGAGACCTCAAACAGCGAGTTGAGCGTCGACGAGAAAGGAAAGCCTGGCACAGCCTCGAGCAGTGGCTGGAAGAACCGCAATGTCTCGATGACCTGCAGGATCTGCGGCTTGGAGAGCGTCAGCGAGCCCATCACAGACGGCATCTCCGTCTCCATGCTCACCATCTGGCCCTCCACTGTGTAGTTGACCCGTTGCGTATAGCGCAAGAGGTAGTTGCGGTCGTACGCCGCCCGCACCCGCGCTGAATTGTTGAGCTTGGCAATGAGCCCCGCACCCGTCGCCGCCTCGTCCACCAGTGGCGGCGTGATCAGGAGCGCCTCAAACTCAAGAAACGTCATCGGCCAGCACAGATCACGCTCCTCCTCCGTCTGTGACGGCGACCCGTGGTCGCGCTCGATACCCTTCACGTCCGGGTGCATGCCTTCGCACCAGCTCTCACGAAACCGGCCAAACGGAGCGTTAAACACATCCCATCGGCCGCGGACTTGCGCCGCATACGTCGTCTCCAGCCACGCCTGCCCAACCGTGAGCGAGCCGTTGGCCCATCTGGCGACGTCGAGTGACTCGGCCGCGTAGGCGTGCTCCGCCAGCCGGAGATCGTGAGCCACAAGATTGGCCACCACTGCACGCTCGCGCTGGACAACCTCCATCTCGCCCACAAACCGGAGTGCAGGCCCGGTGATGCCTACGAGCACCACAATGAGTACCACATGCGCCACCTTGAGCGTTGCGTAGATGCACAACACACTGCGCGAACGTACGTCTGCCACACCCTCCTCGCCATGCAGATCGTATGACTTGCCGTCGTGCTTGGTCCGCGTCCCAGACCGCACCAAACGGCCCATCAGCTGTCGGCCGCAGTAAACGCAGCGCTACTCGTGTGCAGGAGTGGAGTGGCGAGCAGCAACTGGCTTGTCCGCCCTCTCGTACCATGCCGCGGGCACCTGGTCCGTTGATCAATGTCCAGCCCGTTTCCCGGGTACCTCAATCGCAGTACCGCGGCATGTCAAACGAGACCGAGAGCGCGTCGACGCCAAGACCCTTAGCGTCGTCGCTCCCGCCGTCTGCTCCGACTTTGGCATGGGTGAGCTTAGAAAAGTATGCAAAGTCAGCCACAAAGCCGTTCCATTCGTCAGCAAACTCGTCCTCGGACGTGGTGCCCGACCAGACACGCTGCAGCTGCGCCGCCGCATCAGTGAGTGCCGGCGAGGCCGATGCCGGAAAGCCAGCGTCCACAAGCGCAGGCACAAACTGGTGGTAGAACTCGTCGAGCACCGGTGCCGCTGCCGTCCAAGCCAGCGAGCTCATGTCGTCGCGGGCGATGGCAAGCGCATCGCGTGCACCGATGGCGACAAGGACCGAAAGCACTTTCCACCGCAACGACGGCTGCGCCGAATCAGCGGCAAAGAGCCGCCCCTCGGGTGAACCTAGAATCCGCAGGTAGTTGAGCGAGTCACGGACCGCCACAAGGTCGATCTCGCCCCGCAGTCGGCTCACCAGCTCGCCGACCACAGCCTCCATCTCTCCCGCCGAGACCAAGTAGTTCGAGTGGAAAAAGGCGAGCTCGTAGAGCAGCCGCAGGTACTTGCGCTTGAGCACAACCGAGGCCGTCGGCGACGCCGGCGGCAACGCCTCGCCCAGCCCCGAGCCGACTGCAAACGAGACAATGGCAGGCAGAAGGCTTGCAAACTCGTCGCGCGCGCCCTGGACCATGAGCGAGAACAGGCCCAGGACTGCACCGACAAGCGCGTCGTGCTCGCGCGCAAGCACGTCCAGCTCGACGCTCTGGACCATGCTCAATAGCGTCTGCGCCAGCGCTTCGGTCAGCTCAACTGAGACCTCGGCGCGGATAGCGCCAAAGATGGCAAGCAGGGCCTCCGCAGCATAGCTGGCCTCGTCAAGCTCGCCGGCGCTCAGTGCGCGCGCAAACAGGCCCCGCACCAGCGGAAGGAGGACAGGTGCGAGAATGCTGGCAACTTGCCGGCGCGCCAGACTCGCGAGCTCGCCCATGTCGATGCCATCGCGCGCGACCCGGCCCAGGAGGCGTGCGAGCGAGACGCCACCGCCATCGTTGCATCGAGCGTGCGACTCGAGCTCGTCCAGCGACGTCAGCAACGCCGACGCCAGACCGCCCAGGACGCCTACCAGCGGACCGTCGGCGCCGAGCCGGAATTCCCAGTCCTGGTCGTCGTCGCTCGTCCACGGGTAGGCGCAGCCGGCAGCAAGCACAAAGACGCCGACCAGCTTGGCCTGGGTCTCACATCTCATTTCCGAGTCGGCCATGTCAGTAACGGTCCAGCTTGCGAGGGCGGCAAAGGTATCGAGGTGGACAAGGCCTGGGAGCCGGAGCGTGGTGGCAAGCCCGGCGAGGACGGCGACGGCGGCGTCAAGGACCTCGGGCGAGTGCGCATCCGGATCGAGCAGGCTTGTTGCGGCTTCGACAAGCGTCCCAACAAGGCCGTGCATCTCGTCGCGGCGGCCAAGGTCGGACTCGGCGTACATGCGGGCCCACTCGAGCGAGGCACGCACAAAGTTCAGGTCGGCCACCAGGAGCGCGTCGACCGGACCTGGCGCAAGGCGTGCGACGTCGCCGGCGTTGGCGGCCCACGCCAGCAGCTCGAGGGTCATGACCAGAACCTGGGCCGCATCATTGCTCCGCTCCGCAAACTCCTCGACAAAGACGGTGACCAGTGGTGTGAGGAGCTGAACGAGCATGGCCACGTCCTTGAGCGTGCAGTTGAGGATGTGCAGCGAGTGGCGGTCGGTCGCAACCGACGCAGTAGCGGCAACATCTTCGATGCGCTCTAGGTGCGAGTGGAGGACCGAGGTGAGGAGGCCGAGGACGGTGTCTGGATAGACACCGGCAAGCGGGACGAGGACAGCACTGGCTGCGGCTCGGAGGGTGCCGAGCGTGATGCCGGTCGTGCCCTCAAACTCACCCGAGGCCTTGAGCGCGCCAAGCATGTTGTCCTCCATCGAGAACGAGAGGGCGGTGACAATGTTGTGGAGGAGGGCCTCGGCGAGCTCGGCGTAAACAGCCGTAAACTCGTTGGCGAGTGCGGCCGACGCGCTACCGCGGGCCGACGAGAGCAGGGCGGTGAGCGAGGTGGCATCGGCGAGCGCGGCGAGGCCGGTGAGGTACTCGGCAATGGGGAGCCAGACCTCGGAGAGGACTTGGATGTAGAGCTCGGCGGATGGGAGGGCACGCGTGTACTCGAGCACAAAGTGGAGCCACTGAGCGAGTGAGAACGACTCGAGCCGTGAGGCGGCCGACGCCGAGGCCACTCGCTCGAGGTGCGACGAGACAAAGAGCGAGACAACGTGGGTGACTAGCGAGCAGATGCGCGGCTGGAGCGAGGCCTCGGCGTCAGCGAGCGATGAGAGGAGCGAGGCGAGGGTCGAGAAGACAGCAAGAACGTAGTCCTCGAAAGCGTCGGGCATGTACGGCACCTCCATGAGGAGAGCCAAGATGCGGAGGGCCAGGAGGGCGACGTGGCCCGAGCCGCCGCTGCTGCCGAGGGCAACCAGCGGGAGAATGAGCGAGACGTCCGAGGCTTTGAGCACGCCCGCCACCTGCTTTGCAGTGGTTCCGGAGAGGAGCTCGATGATGATAGTGAGAGCAAGCCGGAGGGCATGCTCGGCGTCGTCAGTAAGGGCGGTGAGCGTCGGCGCTGAGGCGACAACGCGCAGAACGACGGCGAGAATGTCGGGCAGCGAGGAACCGAGAACAGCCACGAGCTCGGCTCGGCGAGCCGATGAGACGTCGCGATGGCGGGCCGTGCCAGTCACCTCTTCCACAAAGGCAACCAGGATCTTGAGGCCGACGACGGCAAGCGGTTGATGCGAAACAGCCGCGAGGCGGAGGACGGTGGGGAGAAAGGCCGGAAGGCGATGAGGCCAAGCCGCCTTTCCCAAAGCAGCGAGAACGACACAAGTCTTTGTCGTTAAAAACGGAATGCCATCGAGAGCTGCAGCCGCGGCCGGATCGATGGCGGCGGGTAGATCAGGAGCGGTCTCGGCCGAGGGCGAAGCAGCAGCAGTAGCAGCAGGTGATGGGCGAGTGACCCAAAAAAGGTCGCACTCTCCGGCGGCAGCCGGGGCGGCTGCGAGGGCGGTAAGGAGCAGCTCAAAGGCAGATTCGAGGACAGGAAGCGAGACTGAGTGTGTCGAGTGTAGCAGAGCTCGCTCTATACACGAGAGCGCAAAATGAAGTGTGTCTGGTGACTGGCTGGCCAACGGGTGGCTGAGGAGGTGGAGGCCGTAGTCGGCGGCGAGAGGCGCGGCCTGAATGGCCGACAGCGATGATGTGAGGGCCATCTTTTGGGAGACAGGGAGGAATGACGACGAGGCTTCCACCATTGTCCGAAGCTCTGGAACAGACGGGAACGATATTTTTGCGTCTGTCATTGCTGTTGTTGTTGTTGCTGCTGTTGTTGGTGGCGGTGGTGGTGGCGGGTGGTGGGGTGTGGGCGGCTGCCGGCAGACGGGTGGCTGGCGGGCGGGCGGACGGTGTGATGATGGTTGGACGGATTCAATTGGAGCGAGAGAAGAGCGATGAGGCGGCCAGGGAGAGGAGGCGGCGAGCGGGGTGCTTTCCTTGGCGGGCAAGTGAGTCCTGGCGGTTCTTGAGCCACGGCTCGACAAAAAAGCCGGCAACGGCGGCGGCGACGATGCCGGTCGAGTCGCCGACCGAGGTGACACCGAGGGAGAACTCGCGGTAGCCCTCTTCGACGTCCTGGGAGATGCGGTAGAAGGCGTTGACGTAGGTGGCGCCACCAAGGAGACCCTCCCAGAAGATGACGACAAAGACGATGTAGGCCGAGGGGAGGTAGAGAAAGTAGGCCTGCGACCAGAGGAAGACCAGGTTGATGAACTGGAGGACCGAGGGGATCCAGATGCGGCGGATGGGGAAGAAATTGACCGAGGAGCGCGAGACAAAGACGCCAGATTGGTAGAGGAACTGATAGTATACGTAATACTCGTCCGGGTCGGAAAGGGCTTGGTAAAGTGGATGGTGGGCGAGACGGCCTGGTTGGCGAGGTACTCGGAAAAGTACACGAGCATGAGCGGGAGCATGTACTTGAGCAGCGGACCAAGGAGGCGGAAGCGTGTGGCGAGCGAGAGCTGGGCCGGACGGGCCCCCTTGAGCGAGCCGGGCTCTGGGTCGGGCTCGAACGAGCCGTTGCCGCGGAGAGCGACAACGCCTGACGGCCGCGCCAGCAGCGGCGCGCCTGCAGTGCGCCGCTCGGCGTCGGGATCGTCGAGAGGAACGTCTTCGATCCGCGCCCCACCGTCGAGCGAGGCCGAAAGCACCGGTGTGTCCTCAAACGGCTTGGCGAGCATGAAATAAAAGGCGATGAGGATGCCAAATGGAAAGACTGACGAGACGAGGAGGGTGAGCGGTGACGAGAGGCCGATCCACGATGTGAGCATGAGGTACATGAACGAGCCGAAGATGCCGGCGCCACCGGTGCCCGACGACCACGCCGAGACGGTGTTCTTGTGGTAGAACGAGGACATGGCGAGGAACGTGACTTCGCCAAAGCCGGCCGAGATTGACGCAAAGATGACGCCGGTTAGCCGCAGCCAGACTGAGGTGAGCCATCCGGTCATCTGGAAGGCAGCGACGCCAAAGATGGCCACGATCCACACTCGCAGCGAGTACGGGAGCTTGTGCATGAAGAACGGCGCGGTGAGCTTGAGCAAGAAAGTCGGCAGGATGTCTGCCAGAAGAACAGCCGACTTTGGAATATCTGGCGAGTCCTCCAGCAGATGCCCTGCTGCCGAGAGCATGACAACATAGCCAAAGTTGTTGACCAGTCCACAAAGAAAGAACCCGATGAGATTGAGTGTGTACTGTCTGCGGGCGGCAGGCGAGGGATCTACAGCGGGGAGAGATGATCGCCATCAAACACAGCCAGTCGGTTCCCCATTGTGAGTCATATTCTGCCACATGCGGATCCTCTTAGCCTGAGCCCCCCCCTCCCTCCCCCCCCCACCCCCCCACCCCCTTCCCCCGTTCATCACTTCCGTCCATCGCCCCGCTCCGACGGTGACCTGTTGTGACGATAGCCCCGCTCTCTCTCCACGCATATACACTGTTTTCATTCCGCTTGTGGCTTGGTGGCGGGATGGCGGCAGCCGGTGTGGCAAGCAAGACCATGGCGACAACTACTTTGGCAAGCACCACTGCCGGCATGGCCACAACCACGGCTGCAGCATCAGCTGCCGCTGGCACTCGGTCTCTGCCGCAACCGTCATCGACATCGTCTTCTCCCGCAGATGCATCTGGTTCAGCAGGTACAGGAGCAGTGCCATCTGAATGGAGCTATGTAGGAAAGAAGATCTTGGCTCCCATGGTCCGAGTTGGCACTTTGCCTATGAGACTGCTGGCTCTCGAGTACGGCGCCGATATGGTGTACACGCCCGAGCTCATCGCGCACAAGCTCGCTCGGTGCGTGAGGGTTGAGAACGAACGTCTTGGCTGTGTCGACTTTATGGACGATGACTCGCTTGTGCTCCGCATCGCGCCTGCTGAGCGCCACGCGGTTGTACTCCAGATCGGGGCGGCCGACAAGGATCTTGCTCTCCGTGCTGCTCGCCTGTGCGAGGCCGACATCAATGCCGTTGACCTCAACATGGGCTGCCCCAAGCCGTTCTCGGTCAAGGGCGGCATGGGCGCCGCTCTGCTCAAGACGCCTGAAAAGGCTGTGGAGATTCTGACGACGCTCGTCAGCTCGCTCTCTATCCCAGTCACCTGCAAGATCCGCCTGCTCGAGGATGACGAGTCAACCATTGCCCTTGTCAAGCAGCTGGCGGCGACGGGCGTGTCAGCCATCGGCGTCCACGGGCGGACTCGCGACATGCGTCCGCGCGAGCCTGCGCTGTGGGCGAGGATCAAGGCTGTTGCCGACGCTGTCGACGTGCCCATCATTGCCAACGGTGACTGCTTCAAGTTCGAGGACTTTGCCACTATGACCGCCGCCACCGGTGCAGCGTCGATCATGGTTGCCCGTGGCGCCCAGTGGAACGTCTCGCTCTTCTCGCCCGACGGCATGGTGCCGCCGGCCGAGGTTGCCGCCCGCTACACCCGCCTAGCCCTGCACTGGGGCATGGCGCCGGGCAACGCCAAGTTTACGCTCAACGCCATGACCACCTTTGGCATGGGCCCAGCCATTCAGGCGGCAAAGACGTGGGCTGACCTTGCCAGTATGTTTAAGCTCGAAAACGAGTACGAGCTCCTCTGCACCGCCTCGGGCTCGGAGCACGCCAACTGGGTGCCGTCGTCGCGAACCCGTGCCAAGATGGAGCGCATCAAGCGGTCACGGGCGGAAAAAGCCCGCAACACCGCCAAGAAGCGCTCGGCCACAGACGCGGCCAGCAAGCGTCCAGCCGCAGATGCCGCCGCCGGAGCCGGCCCGGCCAAAAAGGCGAAGCGGCTCGACGCGACAGCGTCGGCGTGACCACCTGCCTCGGCGTCGAGCTTCAGCGCGCGCGGTGAGTGAGCGTCTTGATCTGGTGGATGATGGCCGACGGCAACGGCGCGGCGGCGCGCTGTAGCGCGTACGAGAGGTCGGCGAGGGTGACCCGCCGCGACGCGCTCGTCCCGTGGACCGGCATGAGGCGGATGTTGAGGTTGGAGAGCTCGAGGGTCTCGTCGGCCGTGGGCGCCGTCTTGGTGCGGAGCTCGATGTACCGCTCCTGCTCTGCCGGCGAGAACGAGGCCCAGACCGGGAACGCCGCCAGCGACGCCTTGAGCGCCGCCTGCTCGTTGGCGAGCGACGTGCTCTTTGTCCGGCCCACCATGACGGCAGCAATCGAGTTGGCCGATTCCTGCTCGGCCCGCGCCTCCTCGGCAGCAGTAAACTCGTCGAGCTTCATGAGCAGCGCCTCGTACTTGCGCGGGTTGCGCTCGAGTCGCGCCCGCTCGGCCTGTGCCACCTGGAACGCCGCCTTCTCCGCCGCCTCGCGCGCCTGCCACTTCTTGGTGTGCCGCTCGCGGATGTCCGCCAGCAGCCGCCGCACGTCTGTCGTAATGACGTCGCCCGGATGCGACTCGGACGGCAGCCGGGCCACCTTGGTCCGCGCCTTGGACGCCTTGATCGCCGCCTCCACAATCCGCGTCATGTACTCCTTCAGTGCAAGGTCGAGGTACTCGAGCGCAGGCCCGGTCATGTTGCGGACAAGCACCTTCTTGAACGCCTCAGCGCGCCGGTTGGCAGCCCGTGAGTTGGGCGGAAACCGGTACGGGCCGGCGGCCTCGATGAGCGCTGTCTCGTCGAGGACCTGCTTGACAAGCTCGAGCATCGGCGCAGGCTCACAAAGCCGGATTGTTCCGCCGCCAATGGCGTGGCCCTCGGACGCGAGCGTCCGCTCCGCCGCCGCTCGGTTAGTCTTGGTCCGCCGCGCAATCGACGCCATCATCATTGCGCGCTCCTGCGTCAGGTCGACGTTGCCCGGGAAGAGCTGCGCCACGTCGCCGCCGCCGCTGCCGCCACCACCTGCCGCCGAGCTCGACGCCTCGGCGCGCCGCGAGGCCGACGCCGAGTTCGACGCGGCGCGCCTGCCTGCGCGTGAATCTTCCTCGTCATCGTCATCGCCACCGCCGATCACAGACCGCCCGAGCTCGTCGAGCTTACGCCGCTTGACGTCGGCCATCTCGGCCGCGAGCCGCTTGCGCTTGCGCGACTCGTCCTCGGCCGACGGCGCCGATGCTGTGCCACCGTTTGACGCCGGCGGCGCCGTTGCCGCCGCCGTCGGAACATAGATCGAGAGCGCCACCTCCATAGTGTACGTGAGGTACCGGTCGCGGTCCGTTGGCGAGAGCGAAACAATGGCGGCCTTGATCGCCTCGTTCATGAGGTACTGCTGCGACTCGCCGTTCGGGTTGGTGTACGAAATGTGGCCCGACGAGCTGAGCGTTGCCTTGCCCTTCGGCACGTAGTCGGGCGGAATGCCTGCGAGGCCCGTCGCGGCCGAGGCCTGCTGGGACTGCTGCTCGGCGGCAAAGGCCTTGGCGCACGACTCGACAAGGTACCTGTGGCCTTCCGCGGCACCCAGTGACTCGACGTACTGCTTGAGAGGCAGAGTGTACTCGAAGGTCTTGACCCTGCCGCGCGGATCCGTAAAGGTGATGCGATCGCCGACAACAATGACTTCGCCGAGCGGATGGCCACGGCTCCCGATGTCAAAGTCGTCGTCCGAGTCGTCGTCGGAGCCGTCGCCTGCGTTGTCGTCGTCGTCGTCGGACCCGTTGTCGCCCTTCTCGTCCTCCATCACTACACCAGCAGCCACATCGCGCTTCCGTTGCAAGGCTTTCGCACCCGCAGCCGCCCCCTGCTGAGGAGTGAGCGTAACATGGACCTTGCCGGCACGAGCCGAGCGGACCTTCTGGTCAGCGACAGCCAAAGCCCGAGCCAGACCCGACTTTGTGGTCATAGCCTCAAGCAGAGCAGCCCGAGCCTCCTCATCAAGAGGAAGCGGAATGAGGTATGTGGAGAGAGCGAGATAGACGCGGACTGTGTTGGGCACACCAGGCTCGGCCAGAATGACGGGATTCTGATTGACCCAACCACGGAGAGCACCCGAGTATGTACGATAAGCAGACTTTGACAATTCTTGTCGGACAGCAGCCAGAAATTCATCAACAGACATGCTCCCTCCCATCATCTGCGTAAAGTACGTGGTAATCACATCGATGTTCTTCCTCGGCAGCTTGTCCTTGTAGCTTTCAAAGTGGCCTGCGACCTGCTCCACAAGGAACTCGCGGTTGTACTTGGACGACATAGCGAGGTAAGGTAAGGTGGCGTAAGGCGTATGTGTGCGTGTGTGAAGGGTGTGTGTATGTGCGTGTGTGGAGGGGAGGGGGGGGGGGAGGGGGGGAGTGGTGTGGCCGTGGTTGCTGAGCGGGGGTAGCGGTAGTGGTAGTGGTGGTGGTCGAGGCGGTCGGCTGGCCGTGGCTGGCGGTCCGGTCGGCAGCGACACGGCGTCTCGGCGACTCGGCGACTCGGCGACTCGGCCGACTCGGCGACTCGGCGACTCGGCGACCAGCGAGTGGGGGGGAGGGGGGAAGGCTGAAATGAGGCGATTCAGAGGTTGATGGGGGATTTTCGAGGTAGGAAAGGCTGTGATGTGGTGTAGGGCGGCTGGGTAGTGTGATGGCCTGGAGGATGTGTGTGTGTGTGTGTGTGTGTGTGTGTGTGTGTGTGTTGTTTCGGAGTTGCAAGCAAAGAGAGCGAGTGCTTGATCAACGATAGTGACCTCGTCACGGCACCTCATAGTCCGACAGCGCACTCGTGATTCGAGCCGCGCTCACATCACGCCATCCAAGACGGATCCAACGACTCCATCCTACCTGCTCGTAGACCAAGCCCACGACTCAAATCGAATCAGCAATTATTATCGGTGACCGACGAGCTGTGAGCGGCGGCGAGCAAAGATCGGGTGGCGGGTGGCGGGCGGAGGGCGGTGGGCGGCAGGCGGTGGGCGGCGGCAGCACCCGACTGGCGTCGTCGACAGCGGAAGGGGCGGCAGTATCCATGGCCGGGCTCGCCTGGGAGGACTACCTTATCCAGAGCAAAATAGGGACAGGTGCCTTTTCCACTGTCTACAAAGCACAGCACAAGGTGACCAAGAACCTTGTGGCCATCAAAGCTATCCGTGTACGCCTTGCCCAATGCGGCGCCTGTCTCGGCTCAGCCTTCCTCCACTTTGGCCGCAAAGTTTTGAATCAACCCAAGTCAGCAACGCAGGTCTTGGAGGAAGGGGCTATCTTTGCAGACGTGTTGAGACGGCGAAGAGTAGAAGGAGAGACCGGAGATTGAGTGTGGAGGAGGGAAGGGGGTTGGAAACGATACTTACCAACTATTGAATGTGTGGGTGTGTTTGCGGGCTGTTGCGGGCGTGGAACGTGGTGTGGCGTGACCGGCGACTTGCGGGCGTGGGTCTGGCTCGTGGCATGGAACGGCGACGGGGGGGGACGGGCTCGCCCGGGGGAGGGGGGACAGAGAGCGCGACTGTCGAAGAAGCAACAAGCAAATCTCAAGCTGGAGCAGTCTATTCTCAAGTCTTTGGACGATGACAATGTGGTGCAGCTGTACGAGATCATGAAGACGGAGAAGCACATCTACCTGATCATGGAGTTCTGTGGCGGTGGCGATTTGCACAAGTTTATCAAGGACCGTGGCTCGCTGCCCGAGGCAGTTGCCATCCACTGCTTGCGGGAGATTGCAGCTGGCCTGCGTGTCCTCCAGGACCGCAACCTCATCCATCGCGACCTCAAGCCGCAGAACCTGTTGATCGGGGCGCCAGTCGGCCCGAATGGCATGCCGTCGCTCAAGCTCGCCGACTTTGGCCTTGCGCGGTATATCGAGGAGGAGGACTTGGCAGCCACGCTGTGCGGGTCACCGACGTACATGGCACCAGAGGTGCTGTCGGGCAAGCCTTACTCGGCCAAGGCCGACCTGTGGTCGGTGGGCGCTATCTTCTTCGAAATGCTCACCGGAACGCCGCCGTTTGTTGCCTCGAACCACATCGAGCTGCTCCGCAAGATGCAGCGGGCGCCGCCGCCGATTCCACGCGCCGCCAAGATCTCGTCGACCTCGCGTTATCTCATCCAGTCGTGCCTGCTGATTGTCAACCCGGCGAAGCGCATTTCCTTTGACGAGTTCTTCACCCACCCGTATGTGACGTACAAGGGTCCGATTGCGCTCGGCGCGGCGGGGACGGGAGCGGGAGCTGACCCTGCGGCTGCTGCTACCCCGCCACCGGCTGCCGCCGCCACGGCCGCCGCACTTGCGGGCTACTCGGCGCCGCTCACGCCATCGTCTGCCTCGGGCAGCGACTCGGGCAGCGACTCGTCGGATGCCGACGACGACGACAAGTTCTACTCGGCGCTCGCCGCCAAGCACAAGAGCCGTGTTGGCCCTGCGCGGCTAGCCACGCCGGCCCGCGACGCCTCATTTTACTCGGACGAGTACTACTCGGACGACGATGGTGAGAGCGGGCCGGAAGCTGTCGAGGCGATGCGGGCAAGAGCAGGTGGCCGCGTCAGACCAAGTGCGGTCAAGGCCGATGCTAGCGCTGCTCAGAGCGCGGCAGCGTCGGCGCGGACCCCGCTCACCTCGAACGCTGACAACGTGCTGCAAGAGGAGCTCGCGCGGCTGGAGCGGCTCAAGGCGCGGCACCAGGCGGCACTGCGCGGGCCGGCGGCTGGCGGCGGAGCATCTGTAGCGGCGGTGCCGGCCCGTAAGCGTCCGCCGCCACCGGCAGTCCAGGCGCGGCAGGCGTATCCCGGCGCCGCTGTCCGCTCGCTTGCAGCCATCTCGGCCTCGGTCTCGTCATCGCGTTCAGGCTCGGGCGGCTCAAGCTCGGGCTCGGGCGGCTCGGTCGACTTTGACGTTTGGCGACAGCGGGCCATGGAGAAGATTGCGCAGATGAATGCCATGCTGGATGCGCAGGCGCAGTGATGGCTAACCATCATCGTAAACACCATGTTGCCAAACCGTGACTCGGTTCGCCGATTCGTCGTTGGCCGGTCGAGTGGCAGACGGCCAGGGAGGCCGCGGGCACGACTCGGCGGCCAAAGTGTTGGGGATTTAGTGGCAACGAGAGCAAAGTCGACCTCTCTTTCAGCGTACGTTAACACGGCATCGATCCCGTAGCCAGTGAGAGAGTGTTATGGCATTGGTCTGAGCAAGTCCCAGGTCTTTACCCAGACACAACCAGCTTGCCATGTAGCTCTTGCGGTGTACATACCCATGAGTGTGTTCCTGACATCTGTTGCTACCTCTATCTGCATCTAGCCGCGTTGGCGAGACCGTCTCCAACGGGCAGATATTTGTTTGCATCGATGGCCGACACGACCGTCTCTTGACCAGCCGCAGCACGGCGTTCTTGCAGCCCCTCCACCTCCCCCCACCCTTGCCCACAACCCCCACCCACCTCTCTCTACTCTACTCACCATCCTCTATCCACCCATACTATCTGTGTATAGTTTAAGATGGCCAAGTCCAAGAACCAGTACGTTTCATGCTCCCCCACCTTCCCGCCCACCTCCATCCGACCACTCCGACCACTTCCACTCCGACCCCCCCTGCACACCCACCACGGCCATGGTCCTCGCTCCCCCCCCCTTCACCCACCAACAACCACCAACTCCTCCACCCCCTGCTGGGTAGAGGTAGCATTGGTCCTGTGTTTTGGGGTCCCTGTGTGAGGGGGAAGGGAGTGGGTGGGAGTCATTCTGTCGGTATCGGTGGTGTTCGTGTGTGTCGGTCTGCTGTGGTAGAAGAGGAGGTGAGGGGGAAGGAGGAGAGGGAAGGAGAAGGACCGCCCCCCCCCCCCCTCCCCTCCCTCCCCTTCCCCCCCCCCTCCCCTCCCTTCCCCTCCCTTCCCCTCCCTCCACCCTCTCCGTTATCTCTCGCCTTCCGTCCTCTCCCTCCCTCCCTCCCTTCCCCCCGCACTCTATTTTCATCCCCTTGGAGGTATTATTGTCGGTGGTGGACGTGGAGGTGGAGGTGGTGGAGGTGGAGGTGGACGTGAAGGTGGAGGTGGACTGGACGTGGTGATACAAGAGGCAGCCCTGGTCTGGCCTGTATGCTTGCTGTTCTTGGTGGGCGTGCAGGCTGGATGATTGGCTGCTCTCAGTGTGTCCACTCCGTCACTCTCCCTCGCCCTCTCCCCGGCTGCTACCTCCGATACCCCCCCCCCCCCTTCCCTCCCCCCCCCCCCTCCCATCAATGTCTCACACTCTTTAATGTTGTCGTGTACAGCACCAACCACAACCAGACGCGCAAGGCGCACCGCAACGGCATCAAGAAGGCCAAGACCTACCGCAACGCCGCGATGAAGAGCATGAACCACAAGTTCCGCCGCAACCAGCGCCATGCCCGCAAGGCCTACAAGGCCATGCTCGACGCTCGTGACGCCGAGAACAAGGCCTAAACGGAACCGGCTCTCAATAAACGTCATCAACGGTGGTCCTGCATGTGGATGATGATGATGATGGTGATGTGTGTGTGTGTGGTGTGGTGTGTGTGTGCATTTAGTCGTGGGCAGGCGGCGGCGGAGGCGGATCAGCAGCTGGCACAGCACCGGCTGTTGACAAAGTGGCAGCGGCTGGCGTGGCCGGAGCTGCCGCGGGCGGGGCTGGCGTGGCCGAGCTCTTCGCGGGTGGTACCGTGGCGGCGGCAGCGGCGGCAGCAGTGACGGTGGCCGGGTCAAAGGCCGACAGCGAGGAGAGCGACGAGACGGGAGGGGTGGCGGTGGGCGAGGCAAAGGCTGGGGACGGCAGGGACGATGATGCCGGGCCTCCAGCGCTCGCAATCTTGGCCTTAGCCAATTGGCGGGCTTTGGCCTGTGCAAACAAGGCCTTCTGCCGGGCAATGTCCTCAGCCGTCGGCTCGTGCTTCTTCCGCTTGGTGTGTGTCAGCTTGGGCCGCTTCGCATCGCGGGCCTTGTGGGCGCCAAGCGCGTCGCGGCTCCGCTTCAGCACCTCTGTATTAGCAAATCCCAGATCCTCCATGGCCTTGAACACATGGTTTGGGTTAATCACCTTCTTGGTCGACCGCTCACAGACCTCGTGCGCCTCCGAGCCGACCAGATGCACAAACTCTGTCGCATCACCATCGCTTGTGAGTCTGCTACTCTATCTCTCCCCCCCTCCCCCCCC